CGATCTGCACAGCAATCTCAAGGCAGTAGTTAGGGCAAATATATCCAACTCTATAAATGATGACAACGCTTCCCTTTCAATTCTTTATACTACTCCACCAACATTATATCACTCTAAGACATTTTCTAACATCTGGAAAGTATTTAAAAGTAGCTGCTATAGAACTAACATTTAAACGTGATAGTTTCCATGATAAGATGTCCAACTAATATAGCATCACAATGATTGCAATAATTTTAAATGTTCCCAACTCCAATCCCTACAATGGCTTACCTTTGTGATAGGAACAAACTTGTTTATTGTTCAGTAATGATCTGTGACAATTATACTTATTATTAATATTGAAATTATCAGTTTGCTGCTAATGCTAAGATGCTATAAAACATAAAAATCTATTATTTAATAATATGGGTCATGGTATCTGATATCTGTAGTTAGCTTGATTAAGAACAGGGGAAAATATTTCCAAATAGCTCCAAATGTAGGGTAATTTATAAGAAGTTATATTTCACTGCATTACATTTTAAAGTCGTATAAAATAATTATTTATATGAAAGTTATGCATTCTTCCTTCAAGAGAGAAAGTAATTGTTTATAGAGATAGTTATAAAAATGCATTTAGTATTCATTACTAGTGATACTGAATCGAATTTAGGTTTTAGTGCCAGATATAAGGTGAGAACACTATTAGCTAGAATCTATACTTACCATTGGGTAATTTCTGGAATTTAAAGTCCAATAATTCCACTAATTAAATTGGGTAAATAAATCATATGTATGTTGCATACCTATGTGAGGGTTACAAAAACAGTCTAAACGTGAATAGGAGAATTCAATAAATTTTCTAAATGCCTTAAAAGAACCCTTCTCATATCCTCATTCTATCTTCACTTCTGAGACTTGAGTATTGTGGACACCATCAAAGTTTGGTCCAAAGAACAAGGACATCATTATGAATTAATAAACATTACAAATAACTTAAATCCCCATATGCTAAGTTGGCAGGAACTTGTATTTGAATAAATATTGGTTTTCTAGAATGGTAAGAAACTTTAGAAGTTGCATAGTTTTCCTCAGTCATTTTACAGGTGTGGAAAATAAAGATGAGGTAAAGGGGCTTTCCCAAGATCTTATAAGTTCATGGCAGAGTGGGGACTATAACCAAGCAGATTCCTGATTGAAGGCTCTTTCCACAAACCATGGTAATTCAAGTCAAAGTTTAAACTGCATTTGATTTGCAGCTTTGTTTAAACTCTTGTTACAGCATTTTTTAAAAAACAAAAAATGAACATGACATAGCCTAAAATAGAAAAAAAATTGATAAACTCACATTTTTAGTTAACAGCCAACTAGAAACCAAATATAATAGAATTATTACTACCAAAGCAGATCATGGGTATGTTATTAAAAGCAATTGTAATTATGGCAACTTTCAAGTTTCCTAGGATATTTTAAGTATCAAAAACGCTGCTATTAGAATTTTAGGGTCATTAAAATTACTTTCTAAAATAATTTTTCAAATTAAACTAAGTTACTAAGAAAATTACTTTCACTCAGACAAAGGAACAAACTTCTGAAAGAGGAGCTGTAGAGATTTAATAGCTCTTTCTTATCTATTTCATTCTTTAAAAACTGTGTCAAACATTAACATCATAAGTTGAATATTAGAGATGAAAAAGGAGGAGAAATAGAAATGCACTCAGTTCTGGAATCATGGGTTGAGTTTTGGAAGATGGTTTGATCTTGTACTTTTTTTTGCTGGTCCTCTCTTGGCATTTACTATCTTCTGATTAGCAGTATTATATCTCCCCGTTTTCACTGGATTCTCTTTCACTCTATGGAGTTGATTCACCTGTTGCTTTCTAGAATTTTTGCGTAAGCCAGAGACCTGAGACATTTCAGCTAGGCATATACGGCGTTCATCTTCAGTCTTCTGGTAAGCCTTTGATTCTTCTTCTAGTCTAAGTGCACAGTGTTTCACTTGATGTTCAAGACGCCTTTTTTCTTTTTCTAGCTTTTTAAGTAATGTAATTAAAGATTCCACTGGCATTCGCTCATAGACACGAATAGAAGATAGTCTATCTGAAGGATTTCCACGGACTTTTTCCAATTTATCTTTGAGAGTAGCAATTTGCTTTTTTAGTTGATCATTCACTTCAAGTTGTATCTCATAACGGATTTTCCATTCACTGCATTCATTATCAGTATTGAGTTTGTCCTTCAGTTCCACTATCTTGTGTTTTAGTTCAAGTATTGAGATTTGTACTAAGTCTTTCATATGGAGTTCTTCCAATAACTCTACTTTCAATTGGTCAATGCTCATATCTTCAAAGTTATCGCCACTTTCGTCCCCCATAGTGTCAGATGAGAGACCTACCTATGCCCTTCCCCTCAACACTGCTTAGAGCAGAAGATCTGAAGGGGCACCTAGAGCTGGAGAGAAGAAAGTGTTGTCACAAACTGTTGCCATGGTGAACTAAATTCTAGAATTTACTGTTGAGAGTCCCCACTCCCAGCACTTTGAATATGTCATAATACTGCTTTCTTGTCTCTATTGTTTCTGGTGAGAAGCGAGTTGATAATCTTACTATTGTA